TGTGCATCAACAATATGGCCGCCGTATGTAACGGCAATGTTTACACACGCCAGCACATGTAACGGTACTGCTAACGGCAAACGCAACAAAATCGTTGCCCAACCTTCTTCCAGACCTCCCCCTCCCCCTCCCCCTTCGCCTTCGCCCCCTCTCCATCCCTCCTCCACCTCCTTTGACAGCCAAGATTTATAAGCATATTTATGTGCCGCAGAGCACATATGTATTACGAGCACAAAATACGTATTTTTTGGCACTTAACAAAAACTGGCAAACAAACTAAAAAAAAAAAAAAAATAAAAGAGATGTAAGAAAACAGAAGGCAATTTTCGCACAATTGGTTTCTATGTTGTTGTATTTTAATGCATTAGTTCTGTTTTGCTAGCCTTCTTTACAATTATTTATAAATTGTTATTAAATAATTTCGCCCAAAATGGTTGCCGCCAACGGAACGCGCGCGACGCGAACCGAAGCGTCTGACACGCGAAACACGTAACACCGCAATGAAGACCAGAAGACCAGAAGTCCCACCGCTCATTCGCTCAGTTGTTCATTCGCTCATTCGCTCACTTGCTCACTTGCTCACTTTCTCGCTTTCTCACTATTTCAATCGCCGAGCAACATGCACGACTTTTTTCGGCCTCGCTGCCGAAATCGGAAAATGCAAACTGGCAAAACAGGCGAAACAGGCGAAACAGAACAGCCAGCAGAAAGCCAAATGCCAAAACAGTGTCCAAGGCAGGCCAAAACACAAAGCAAACTTGGCTAACAGTGCTGGATAATTTGTCCGTTGTTAATTGCTCTGTCCTTAAAAATGTGTGATCACAAAAATATTAGAAAAAGTAATGCAAATCGATGAAATAAGTATGCCAAATATAATTGAACTCAAGTTTTTTAAAACTAAATTCCAATATTAAATTAAAAATTGAAAAATATAAATATCAAAGATATTTTTATATATATTTGTATCAGACATTGCGTTTCCGTTTTAATTTTATAAATATATCGCATTTTTTTAATTTTTAAGAATATTTGATGTGTTTATTGGTTCTTAAAAATTATTAACCTAACTATTTAAATTTTTAATAGACCACTTAGAAAAACATGAAAATAAAACATAAAATAAAGTACAGTTAACAGTCGAAAATACTCGTCGTTGTTTTTAGAAAACAATTATTAATTTAAAACAGAAACAAAGTAGTAAAAATATAGAAACCTATGTAATTATTGCATAGTTTAAAATTCAATGGATATTATTATTTGTATTGCAGCCTTTTTTATTATTGCCATATTAAAAGAAATATTAAAATTATTATTACTCAAATATTTGGCCAGTTTTGGCCAGCAAAAGTTTTTAGCATAGCTGGCAGATGAAAATCAGCGAAAGAGATGGAGAGAGCGCAGCAGAGGTGAAAGAGCGAAACGACAATTTGGGGGAGTTGGTCGGCCGGTCGGTTGGTGGGCGGAGGGTGGTGAAGGACGATGGGCGGAGGGCGGGCGATGGTTACGACAAATGCACGTGTTATTTGCAAACCTAAGGAAACGGCAGAGAAACAAACAACACAACGAAAATAAAACATGAGAGGACGGAGCAGCTCGAAGGTGGAAGATTAAATACCCTACCAAAATCCATAAAGTAATTCCAATTCAAGTTGTTCAAGTAAGTTCATGATTTACGGTAAAAAAAAATAATTTATTTTTTGACTCTTTTGCTACTTTTTTGTTTTAAAAAATGTAGACCAGCGATAAGTTGTAGTGGGCATGCATTTATAATAATTGATAGTTTAAAAATAAATATACCCTTAAAAGTATTTGAGTATACCCTTATTATTTATTATTTATTCTATTAATTATTAGAGCCATTCGGGATGGTGTTTAAATTTTTAAACACTTTTGGGAAAGAAAGAAGGAGAGAGAGAAAGCGCCGAAAAGAGAGAGTGTGAGAGGAAGAGCCAGCGCGCGCAATTTTTGAGCATTTGAGCTTTTTTCGGCTGCTCTCTGTTTTTGTGGTGAATTTTGGCCTAAACGCACGTGTCCCAGTTCAAAAAAGCCGCCATGTCCGTCTCCCTCTTGCTTCTTGTTTTTCATCCTTCCTCTCTTTCTCATTTCCTTTCCTTTCCTTTCCTTCTCTTTGTCCTTTTCTCTTTTTCATGCCGTTTTTTCTATCTCTTCAGGGACCTTCCCCAAAGTATTCTTCTTTTGCGGTTGCAAATTGGCCCGGCATGTTTCTTTATTCTACATGTGGGAGTGCACATCTACCAGTGTGTGTGTGTGTGTGTGTTTGTCTGCGTTTAAGTGTGTGTTTCTTCCTTGCGGGTGAATGTGTATGTATGTGTGTGTGTGTGCGGGTGTGAGTGTGAGTGTGAGTGTATTTCTGTGTCCTGCAGTGCCAGTTTGTGTGTGTTCGATTACTTGTGAGTGTGAGTGTGAGTGTGTGTGTGAGTATGTGTGTGTGTGTGTGTAGTACTATAGTACTACAGATGGAAGATGGAAGTGCGTGTTTTTTACGAGATTGCCTTTTCGGTTTATGCTCAGGGGCCTACATGGCCTTTCCTTCTGCTAAAATGCATATATGTATGTACAGTCGTTTATATGCTGCACACACGTGCATATATAGCTGACACATAAATACCCTGTAAGTACTCATCTTTAAAGTTACTTTGCAGCACAGACTCCAACGTCCCTAACTGCCCTCCTAAGTAGGCAATATAAATTCACATTGAGTGCAACCCAAATCGTGGCCTGAATTATACATAGAAAACGTATGTTTTCAAAAACCTACAATCCAATGAATAGATATATAACTATATATTTATTACAAATGTAAAGTACTCGTCACAACAACAACATAACAACCATAAGGAACTGGAGTTTCCAAGAGATCAAAAAAAATAAATAATCTTAAAAACAATACACTTCTATTAAACAAAATGTTACTAACGTTATTGTTTAAGATGCGTTAGATGCGATTTCGTTACTTAAAAACATTTAATATTGCTTTCAAAGCTTCAGAAAGTTGTACACCCTTTTGAAACACCCTTTTTTGATCGCAAACAACGACCATGAACTATGGCTAAAGCATTGGCCTGGGAACCGAGCTGGAACGAATCCAAATATTGTACAAATGGCGTAATGAATAATGGATAAGTGCAATGAAGTAATTTGCCAAGGGCCATAACAAACACCACGGCCAGCTTTTATACATATATTTATAACACCCAACAGAGTTATGAGTATATCACGTTCACGTATAGAATTATTAAAGAACACTTAGCGCTTTTCGTGGAAAAATTAATACCCAGGGCCAGTAGCAATTATAACTCACTTACTCACGGTAATTGATTGCGTTTCAGATTTCGCTTGGCACATAAATATAAGTTGGGGGCTGAAGAAATGCCTCAATTGCGAACTGATTGCCGGAGCTGTGGACTGCAGACTGCAGGCTGTGCCAAATCAAACACAATAAAACCCCGATACTGGTGTACAATCGTTGGGCAGTGCACCTGTGGGCTGGAGGGTTTACCTGGGTGGTCGATTAATGACTTGGCCTTAATGAAAAATTAACATTTTTAATTTGAGGCCAACGTAAAAGCATGTTATTAGCTAAATTTCCCAACAAATTCAATGGGCTCAAAATGCTTGCATCATGATTAAGTGGAACTAGGTCTTGCTAAATTAATATCGAATTATTAGAGAATTAACATGAATATCTTTTTGACTTATATCCAATGACCTATAAAATATAATATGCTTATAAAAAAAATAAATTAAAGGCTTTCGAAATGGGACAATGCTGCTAGAAAATGTTTATTGCACGAAAAACTATAAACATATAAGGCTTTAGAGAAAAGAGAGTGCAAGATACGCAAGTATCTTGATTGTATTTCCACCGAAATTAGACGCAGTCCAAAAAATTAAATTAAGCAATATATAAACTTTAAAATACATTTCAATTGTATATTTTATTATTTAAAAGAAAAGCAACTTATTTGCAATGCATTTGACTCACTGCACATGGGCGCCATCTGTGGCATGCAACTTTAAACTGACCACATGGCGCATACTTGATTTCCCAGGTATTTTACATGCTTGCTACACGTTATCTACATGCATCTTTTGAAGCATACTGTTCAGGGTTATATGCAATTCTCTGATTTTTTCCGTAGTTTCACGAAAATGTATTTTATTTAATTGTATAGGGTCTATACTACAAGGAATTGTGTCAAGAAAAATTGTGTTTAACGAGAAGAAAAACTTTATTCGCAGTATTTTGAAAGCTTTTTAGGAGAGAGGGCCGCAGAAAAGAGTGTATGGAAAGAATGTCCGCTGATTTAATGTCGAGAAACACACTTTCAATGATGCAAGCTATGCCCAAGGAAAACACAATAAAACCCAGACTGTATAATTACAACCCCTTGCCCAAGACTTAAAAAAAAAACGGTAAAGGATGCATTCAAATATTTACCCTCACAGAAAATAATTGGAATACATTAAAAATACGGTTTATACTTTCCCTTTTTTTAATTACTTTAAGATACGAAATAAATATCGCAACCTGCTAAAAAATAGCAGTTATTCTTCCGATATTAAAGAAAATTAAATTGACTCTTTTGTGTCTGCCATTTATTGACAAATAAAGCTCGAATCAAAGGTAATAATTTTGCATTTAAGAACTCGTAAAATCACTTAGCAAACACGGCTTCTTTTAATAGGGTGATTTTCTTATCGTTTTTTATGGCCAATTCAAGTCACTGAACCGTATTCTCAAAGATTAAACAACTTTTTAAGGAAATTTAAAATGAGGATATTTGGCGAGACAATTTTGACAATTTTTAATAGCCATTTAAACATGATAACAATTTTGTATGAAGGGAATAGGGAAAACGTAAGGTGCTAATATAATTCTTTCGAGTATGTAAGTTTATGCAAACTTATACACAACCTTTTTTCTGTACTTATTATGCTATACAATATGAGTACATTAGATGGTTGGAAGTACTCACATGATGCGGTGGTAGGCATCGAGCTGGTTATGCGCACAGGTCACGGACTGTTCGGATTCGGTGGAATCATCGCGCAGCGTGGCAACGCCGAGCGGCAATATCGGGATGATCGCAGCTGTGGCAGCTGCGGCCGTTGCTGGCGGCCCCGCCAATGTCGTCGTTTGTCCCGCTGTCCCGCTCCCAGGTACCGCCGCTGTCGACGCTCTGCCCGCACCGACTGCGCTGTTGGGGAAAGTCTGCTGTGTGGACGATGATGATGGCGTACTTTCGAGCTCCTGTGCAAGGTGAGTTCCCAAAGAAAGTGCATTCAATTAATAATTCATCGTTAAGAAGGTGGACAAAATCGGTGTTCAGGGGATCAAGACAGGCTTCTAATTTATTTATGAAACTAGAACAAAGTAAACAACTATGTTTTTCAAAAACAAATAATGCTTAAGATTCAAAAACTTACGACTTATATTTTTATTTTTTACTAAGTTTACTCATAAGAACTTAGCATATTATTTTTTGTTACAAAACAACTGAATATACAAAAAATTAATTTTAAATATTACAAAAAATATTATTAATAAACACTAAAAAAAAACTCGAATTAATAAAAAATTAATAATTTAAACTAATGATAGTTGTATTTACTTTTAACTTACATAATTGAAAATAAAATTTCTTTTTAAACTATAAAGTAAAGGGTACCAAGTTATTTTGGGAAATCAAATGATTTATATCATACATAGAAAATATGAACTTTGGTAAATTCGAAAGATTTATTCTCAAAACAAACAAGTTACGTTTAATTCAAACATTTTTTTTAGAAATCTCGTTCTTATGATACCAAAAGATACTACAACTTAACACATACAAAATACAAACAAAGTTATAATAAAAAATCATAAAAATAAATTAAAAACATTTTGATTGAAATATTGAGTCAATCAATCATTGATGCGGGACAATTGTAAGTTTTTGTTAAATCCGCCGACTCTTTTGTCCACCTCAATAATATGAAAGGGAAGTTGCCGCTGGCAGGTGCAGAATAAGGTTGGATTGTTGGGCAGTTGGGTGGATGGATTGTTTTGTGTAGTTGGGGGTGTTGATGGAAAACCTTGATCTCGCCGGCTTCCGGCTGCGAGAATCGCTTCCGTTCGTAGAGGATCTCCCGCTCGATGGAGCGACTTCGGAAGGCGGGCGGTAGCGAGCGATCGGGTGGCGGTGTCTGCAATTTGGGGGTCACTGGGGTGTTGCTGCTGCCGCTACCCGTCGACTGTTGTTGCTGTTGTTGTTGTTGCTGTTGCTGCAGCAGGTATTGCTGCTGCAGATGCAAATGCTGTCGCTGGTGTTGCTGATGCGTATGTGGCTGGTAGGCGGCGGACGAGGTGGGCGGGCTCTTCTCACTGGACTGATGTTGCTGATGGTCACGGTGTTGCTGTTGCAGTTGCTCGCGCTGCTGCTGATGTTGCTGCTGCTGCTGCTGCTGCTGCTGGTGCTGTTGCTCGCGGTGCTGCTGCAGTTGCTGCTGCTGCTGGCGCTGCTGCTGCTGCTCGTCCCGCTTCTGCTGGCGGCGTATCTCAAAGTCCAGCAGACGGGCCTCGCGTTGCTCCTTGTCGCGCTGTTTGCATGCAATTGTCGCAAAGTGCATTCTTACTATCAGGTTTAAGGGTTATCGCATGGCCATCGTTATGTTTTATTGCTGTTGCATTTTCATCAATCACTGCTTCATTTTGATTTGTAATTCTTCTTTTCTTTTCTTTTCTTTTCTTTTCTTATTTTTTTTTTTTAATTTAATTTAATTTAATTAAATTTTATTTTTTGAGGGATTACTTAAATTGAATTGTTAATTTTTGTTTTGCACGCGCGGTAGACACACATACACACACGCACACCGAATTGGCCGCGACAGAAAGAGATAGGGAGAAGGCAGACAGAGAGAGGCACACACACCCACACACTCACCTTGTAGTTGATGGCGTCCTGCTCTTCCTTTTTGGCCTCGCGCTCGTTGCGCTGTCGATCGCGCTGCTTCTCTTCGTCGGTCTGCGAGTTCTTGCTGTCTGTATAATAAAAACAAAAAAAAAATTCAAATACAAATACAAAAAATTTGTAAACAGTACCATTAAAAAATCAAAGAGAAAAGGTGAATAAAATAAGGGACATTTGAAAAAGTAAAATGTTAAAAACAAAAAAAATACAAAAAAAAACAGGAAAAAAAGTAAAACAAAACAAAATGGAGAAATAAAAGTAAGAAACAAATTATGAAATTAACAATAATTAAAAACATAACAAAAAAAAATGTATTAGACAAAAAGAAAGTAAAAAAAAGAGTGTGTTACAAATGAAAGAGATAAATTATAAAGTACATGAAAACAATAATTTAAAATGAAATATAGTGACAAACAGGAAACACAAATGTTACCAGTGGCGGTAAGAACAAGAGAATAACAAAATATACCAGAGACGAAAAGAAAGAGAGAAAGAAAGGGGGGAGAGAGAGAGAGGTCATGTTGAAACTGTTTCAATCGATTCTCATTATTGTATTTCATTAACAATAATTCGTTCTGTCATCGACTACTCAGGCTCTACACATGCATGGTAAAAAGTACTAATGAAGTTGGATTCAGAAAAGAAAAAAATGAAAAAAAAAACAACTTGCAGCATGCACATCTACAGCTGGTACACTCGCACACACCTATACGCACAAGCACACGACTACATCACATACACAGTTCAAGGCCATCACGGCCGCCTACTTACGCTGCTCCCCATCGCGCCCACCACGCACTGCCATCAAATAGCGACTTAGCCGGGGCGGCGTCATATTAATTCGCACTCGCAATTTTCGACAGGTGACCAAAATCAGGACACACACAACACGGAATCAACAGTCGTCAGTTGTCCGTGAAGAACCAAGCGACACTGACACTGAGCACTAAAATGCGTCGCACTAAAAACATAAAACGAAACAGAAACAGAAAAAGAAACCCAAACACTGAGTCCCAAACAAAAACACTAACAACACTCAGCACTGACCGCGGCCCAATTAGTGTCATCTTCTCGGGCGGATTAAAGCTCAGTTGCTGGCAGTTTTCGCGGCAACTAGACAGATATGCATTATGGTTTTGTGGAAGTGTGCCCAAAGTGACGAAATGAGCGTATTAAGCTCAAATGCCGGTCACACTGATTGCTTTCAAGTTATTTCACCGAAATCAGTTTGAATATTTGATAGTCAAACATTTTTTTTTTTTTGATTGAACAATTTTGAAATAGTTTAAATTCCTTATTTATTTTACTTATTTATTTAGTTAAATTAACTTTTGCTCTTATTTAGTTCCAGGAGTCCCAATTTCTGGGAGCGGCTTCCACTCGACTAACACTCAGCATTTTGTTTGCTGACGCTGACAGTCGTTTTGCTATTCTCGTGCGTTTATGTTTTCCATGAATATTTGAGCTTTGAGCTTTGGCCTTGGCTTCAACCGATTGAGGGCCTCACCGTTTCGTTTCGTGAGCTAACCCACCACAAGAGGACAAGAGTTCACCAAGTACAGCATGTGCGTCACAAGCAATGCGTTGTGCCACAGTCGTGATGTGGTGGATATAAATTGATCATATGAAATACATAAATAGTTACGTGGGTACTGAAGTTTAAAGTGGTTTCGCTTGAAAACGTTTAGTAATGTTTTAAGTACCGCTTACTGCGACCAAATGACGCAGATGTTTTCAAGCAACCGTTGATCACACTAAGCTTATTATTTTAAAAGCACTTGCTAGAAGTCTACTTCAATATCCTGATTTTGATTTATCTAATGTTTTTATCTCAACTTTTTCCATAAATAAAATAATTCAAGTATTTTACTGGTGAACTTTGAAATAAAATTGAAATACATATATAAACATTTCTTTCGTGAACTTATGTTCTCTTGTGCCCTTAGAGCGCATACAAATACTAATTATTCTTGTTTTTCAAAAGCTTTAAGCATACAAATGTCTTGTCAGCCGGCTGCAATTATCTCGTTGGATTGGTGACTTCAAAGGGGACCGAGTGCTGCAATTGTGGATGCCACAAGTGTACACCTGCCCCACCTTTGACCCCGTTCCATTCATAATAAACATTTGTACATACACAAACACAACCAGGGACATTATAATATATATTATCATCGTCATTATTATCATCATCATTATCAAAGCGCTACGAAAATGGGAAAACATATAACCAACCAAAAACGGAAGTCAACTAAGGGGAAACAAGGAACGTGGAACCAAACGAACTACACTTAACGGAACAACAAACGGAACGGAACGGCGGAATAACGGAACTCGCTATGTAGGGGGGTTTGTTCTTATTTTTTCTTGGTCTAGGGGGTTTTTAACGGGGATTTATTTGTGGCTTAATGGATTTCCATTTAGTCAACACTACGAGACCAGAGAGAGACAAAGACAGAGAGAGATAGAGGGGAGCGAGAGAGAGAGAGAGAGAGAGACGGAGTGTGTGAGACAGTGAGAAAGAAATTCTTCCTTACCTCAAAGTGTTTTTTTTTCTGATGTTGTTGTACTTGTGGTGATGATGTTGTTGGTATTGTTGGTGTGTCGATTTTGATTATATTTTAGTAGCGATTTTAGTCGAATTTTGTAATTGTTAAGACGCGATCGCGACGCGAACCGTAACGACTGGAATGGAGTTAGTACCGTTAGGTGAGTGCAGTGTGTCTGAGTGTGTCTTTTGGGAGAGAGAGAGACATATAGGCAGTTAGAGAGAGAAGAGACTGAGAGAAAGAGAGAGGGAGCGATCGCACACGAAGAATCTCTCAATCTTCGTTATGGTTTCAGTTTACGATTTGATTCAAAATTGTTTTCCTTTTTTTTTGTTTATAGTTTTTTTTTTGTTTTTTTAGGCTTGATTCCTTAGTTTTATTATTCCTTGTTTTTTTTTGTGTTGAACATAGAAGACAATACAATTAAAGAAGAGCAAAGAAAAGAAGGACAAAAAACAAATCTTCAATTATTTTGTACTTAAATTGGAACTAATACTTAAGTTTATTGCTTAGGGAAAGCCAACAAAATGAAAGTCAATATAAGCTCTCTAAACTATATTGAAAATTCATTGGCCAGCCCCAACCAAACACCTATGTATTTATATGGACCATCAAAGAATTCGCATAGAAACAGCTAAGGAAAATTATAGAAAACCAAGGTAAATCAGGGATTAAATCCTCTAATCTATCCTTAAAGCCGTATTACCTCTCTCTTTGGCTCTGGTTTTCTGGGACTTGAATACAGTGACGCTATATAAATTTATATATGTATATATATATATAATATATAATATATATATATATAATATATATGGTATGTGGCAAAATATATATACCTAAGTAATGGCAACAACTAAATAAAATAGAAATCTTCGACTTTATATGTATATATATATTAAGAAATACTTTATGTGGTTTTCACATCTAAGAGGAGTCACTTAACAAACGTACCACATACAGACATATACATACGTACAGACAAGATACATATATATGTAAAATATAGATAGATATACAGAGAGAGGACTCGCAGGATGACCTAGTCATACAAAAAAGAAGTGGAACCAAAGAACAAACGATAATCGCACTCCCTATATAGACTATACACGGGCTATAAGATCGTACTTTCGGTTATATCGATCAATCAGATTACATAGACATCGAAGGGATGAACAACATAAACGAAGTGGGATTGTTTTTTTTTTTTTTTTTAGTTATTTTTCTTTTTTTTTTGGGCTGGGAGTATTACGAATAGTGGAGGGTCCAGTGTGCCGCCCCGCATGCGCAAACCGAAAAACTCACTTGAGGAACCGCCGCCGGCGCCCGGTGGCGGGTAGGAGAACCAAAATTGATGGGCCAGTTTGGAGTGGGCCCGACCAAGGGCTGCCTGGAAAATAAATACCATAAAGATTAGTTTAGGAACAACAAATGGAACAGAGCGGCGGTTTTTGGATCATTTTAGGAGGATCAATGAAGTTGCCAAAGGCTTAGTTTTAGCTTTAGAAACTCTTTTGATAAAATCGAATAAAATATAACAAATGTAAGAATTCATTAATCCAGTATGTTATCTTCTTATTTTATCTTAAGACTCCGAATTTAAAACAATTGTGTCATGTCGTATGATAGTGATAATTGAACTGATCACTTAAATATTTTGTTTGATAACGAATTTGAAGAAAAGTTGAAAGATTTATTTCTTTTCATACATATAGTCTTTAATTTTTCTCCTAAATACTATCATATATATAAAATGTTAACATTATTCCATACTTTTATCCTGTGTTTGTTTATATTATTTTAGTTATTTTAGTTTTTATAAATAAAACTTTAAATTTCGTTGGATACAAATTCTCATAAATTAAATATATATACTTCAGGCAGATGCTCTAAATGCACAATGTTTCTTTAAGAATAGGTCCTACCCAATGATCCTCCATTCTCCGAACCACTTGGAATCCTCTAAGAAACACTCACCGATAAACGAGTCCTGTTGCTTGCGCCTGTGTGCGTGAGCCTGTGGAAGGACCTCAGTGGTTTTTCAGTTTTCCAGTTTTACTGTTTTCTAGTCTATGACCAGGCACGTGCGATAAGTTAAGTGGGCTTAATTCCGACTAAGGATGGTCGTGTATCCAGATAGAGAAACACCGGGGGCGTGTCAATGGCTCATTTCGGTGACTGGGGAATTTGCTCAGCAACACGGCACCGGTCAACCGCTGGGCCACCAATGGGTTAACGTTAACTAATGGGAGCCGAAAAGAACAAACAAATTAGAGTCGTACGCAAATGGAGGCCATCAACTTACTGACTTATCGTCAACCATGTTGCAAGTAATCAACCCGTCCTACACACAAAGACTTATACAACCCTGTACACTACGAAAAATCAAGGGAAGTTTAAAGTAATAATTGAAATAAGTATAAACGCCTACGTATATGATTATTAAAAATAGTCAATTTTGCTTCTACGACTTTAACTAATTCTAAAGTTTATATAACAATGTCTTAACAGTACAAAGATTTCGTCAGAATGCATATAATGAATGCGAAAATGTATTTATATATTTCAAGATTGATCGGATAGGAATCTTAACATTTATAAAAGTTTTTAAAGCAAAAATTAAAATTAAATTAATAATGATTGATCAAAAGCATCATTATTCCATTCACAAACTGTTGTCCGTTTCTTTGAGTGTAAGGACTAGCCATAAGCAACCGCAAAATGTCGAATGACTGTGGCAAGCAAATCTGGTTAACCATCGCAAATCAAATCGAATGGCATTACATCAGCGAGAGCCACTCGAGGATTAAGTGGCTGCATGGGTTAATGGGGGTTAGAAGAGGACTCGCAGCAGCTTTTATGCCATCTGTATAGGCTTAGCCACCAGTATGTGAAAATGGGTCAAAAACGTGACTCTTCGGCGATAAGAAAGCGGTGGGTGGAGCAGGGCGTGGGAAAAATTGGAGAAGGCGGCTTTCCTTCTCCGCTGGACGCCCAAATGAGGCGGGGAAAAATGGTACTGCTTTCATTTAAGTATTTTTTGCCTTTGGCTTTTTTGTATCAACAAAATTAGGAAATTATATTGAATTGCTTGTCACAAAAAATTTAAAGGGTTATATCTGTTTCTTGGCGAGCATTGTATGAAATGATAATTAAATGATGATAATGATAATGTATTAAATAAGAACTGGGGTACTTAGTTTATTTATAAGTATTTCATTCTACAATATATTACTTTATTTTGTTTGTTCAATTTTAGTTCTCCCTCAAAATATAGCAAAAAAAAAAAAATGGAAAACTAAACCTTTTTTCAACAACATAAAACATATTTTGCATATTTTGACTGTTTTTTTTTAAGTATTAAGATATTTCGCTAAAAAATATTTCCTTATGAAGCGTTTTCATTGATAAGTATTAACTGCAGGATTTAATGGATTTTCTTAAACGTGTGTGTTCTCCATATTTGGGTCACTTTATAAGCGGAAGTTTTTTATTTGCCATCTTTTCAACTTTGCCATTTTAACATCCTTCTTTCCATAGAGTTTTTAATGCGTTTATTTTGTATATTATAACTTGTTTTATGCCTTGTTTTGTTTTTAATATATTTTATTTGGTAAGTTTGTGTTTTTGTGGCTGTGGTTGCGTGTGTGTGTTAGCTAGTACAACAACCATTGTGAATTTTATTGCTTTCCCCCTGCACTCACATACACTCAGAAAAAAAAAAAAAACAACAACAAGAGCTCGGTCTAGGGCACAACCAAAAACACTCCCATAAAACGAGCGGGGGAGAGAGACAGATAAGGACAGTACATTTTGGAGGGGGCGACTGTTAACCGTAATTATTGCTATTGTGAATTTTCAGGCACTGAATTGCTCCTAATTTTTTCCCGCACAAAAAAAAGAAGCACACACACTGGTAAAAAATAGTAGGCAACAAACAGGAGCAGGAGGCGAATGAGAGCGAGAGAGACCACTCACTGCTGCTGCGTTTTGTTTTTTTTATGCTGCCGCTGCCAAAATCAGGACACGTTGCTAATGCGTAAAACACTGGCAAAATGGCAAGCAAACAAACAAAAAGAACAAAAACAACAAGAGCCAAAGGAAAATGCAGGAAAAGCGTGGAGAACGAACTAGGACTCAACTCGACGGAGGCGGCGCCCTTGCAACTGCTTGCTGCTCTGCTTGCGACTGCCTACGACTGCGACTGTGGCTGCTGCTTGCGAGTTTGCGACTGCTGCGACTCCTTTGCTGCGGCTCCTCTGCGGCGGTTCCTCTGCTACGGCTGTTGCGTCGGGTCCTTTCGCCAAATGCGAATGCGTGCGAAGATGAACGAAGACGAGGAGAAGGACGAGGCGGAAGCTGCGACGGAGGTGCAGATGGAGCAGAGCGGGCCACATGATTAAAAAGCTAACGGGAATCATCGCAGGACCTCCGCAGAGAGCGCATGCCGCCGAAAGAGAGAGAAAGCTTTTGCAAGCAGTGTTGACCATTTGAAAAAAAAGGATGTACTACTTAGCTTGAAAAACGATCTATGCCCTACCTTTAGAAGTACTTTTTTAAACAGCTAACAAAATGTAAGAAATAAATAAAGGCTAAAAAGTTAATACAAAAAAATGCATTTGCATGTATTTCATATTAGGATAAGGCACACGCAAATGACGTAAAAGGCAATATAAAAAACACACACGCGTATAAACAAAAAGACAAAAAGGACAACCGAAAAAAATTTACAAAAAATCGTTTGATCGTTGAGCAAAGATCGATTGACTAATTACGCTTTGTGAACTGTTGTCTTCTGACCTTTTGCTCAAAGAGCCCTAAAATGATAAAATAACGTACAACTACTTTTTGAGAGCTCTGGGTGAAGGTACTTAGGAGGCAATTTCAATTAAATGGTATACCGTTTATAATTTGCATTGCTTAAAGTTTATCGTATATGTTACCATAATATGCCTAATTTCCCTATCACTAATTAAAAAGAGAGATTGCCTTAAGTGGCACAATATAAAAAGATCAATTTCCCAAAGTAAGTTAAAATAGATTTGACAAAAAAAGAGGTATTGTGACAACACTGAATACTGTTAAGCGAAAAATTCAAACATAAAGCTTTTAAAGCTCTGACGTCTGATAAGGCAAAAAAAAAAAACAATTACTTATAGAAAACCGTCAACTATAAAATACAATTTTTGCATTTTCGATAAGAGTGTACATCATCGTTTTTTGCGAGTATTTGAAAAACTGAAAAGTTTTTAGCTGTAAATGCCGTTCGATTGGCAATTTAATGACGAATTCACCGATGTATGGGATTCCAACATTTGACCAACACATACTAGGATTTATATACAAAAATAAAAAGTTTATTAACAGTTTTTTTTTCGGCTTTTGGAGTTTTGTAAAAAAATTTTTCATAATTTCCATCTTTCTAGTATTTTATGCGTATTTATTTATGTTTGTTTTCACTTTTATCTGAACTTTTATATCTCCGCATTTGTGTGTGTTATTTTAGGGGGCACGTTGGCTAGACCCAAAGTCAGATAACGGCCGTATCAGCAGAGATAAGCCCCGAAAACGTTGGCCATATATTATTAATTTGAACAAAATGCCAAATTGTATAATCCCGAAATTGAATGCTGAACTGTGTCATTTTAAAAACCTTATTTCTTCTATCTGCAGGGCGAATCGTGCGAATATCAGAAACTATTCGATTCTCAGCACTTGCAGAAGTGTTTTACGACTCACGCATTTTATTTTAAAAGCAAGAACATTTAAAAAAGATATTTTTAGTGTATGCAAAATGAATGAACGATCTCTCTGAGAATTGTGCTCAATTATTTCGCAGTGGCAAACGCAATTCATCCTCCCAACACCCTTTTGTTTATCAGCATACGCTTTTTACTCGCTCTAAAATAGTTTGTTGAATTTGTTTGCAGTTGATAGAAAAATGAACAGACTGTTCCCGAATTTTCCAAATCAAAATCTCAAGCCGCTCTTATCGCACCTTTTTTTGGTTTGACGCCTCATCGCCGGTGACCTTGGGAAATCTGATAAACATAAAAACCCAATACCCGAAACCGAAACTGAGACTGAAAACGTAAACAGAACCAAACAAAGTCTGAGTTTGGAATCAAAAAACAGACAACAGCATATGGCATGTGTATACGGGGAGTGCTTGTGTATTTGTGTAGAACTCGTTTTTTAAAATGCGTCGTGCGTTTATTGGCGCTTCTTATATAAATATATTAAAAAAGGCATAAATTCAAATTCACTTTATAAACTGTAGTCTTTAGCTCTAAATACAAATTAAATACGTACAAAATGCTTAACTTAATTATAGCAAGAGAAAAACACTTTGCCCAAACAAAAACAGCAAATAAAATAAATGGGAACATGTGCTTAGGTTGAGTTAAATAATAACAACACAGAAAAAAAAATGTAGGCTGCGTTTGGACGTGACATTCATTCAATATCAGATTCATTACGAAATAAAAAGTATTAGTTAACTGTGGACCTGCTTTTAGAAGACCAATTTACAACTTAATAATATCAAATCTTTGTATAAAATAAAATAACAAATGAACAAAAAAAAAATAAAATTTGTTTGACTTGATATTCATATTGTTATGATCGTTGATGCACTGTTTAAATACTTTTAAGTATAAGATATTTTTTAAAATGAGAACTCAAATTTAGATAAAATATCTGATATTTAAGATATTAGATTAAAGATAAGATCCAATTCGGAAAATGCAATGGTTTGCTAGTATCTCATATTTGTTTCACTGATTTTAAAATTAAAATTATAGTTATTATCTTAAAATCAAAACTTTGTTCTGCGGTCCTTATGATTGCTTTCATTTTAGTTGACTTTCCAAGTGTGTCCTCCAGTGAAGTGACTGATTACAGGTGATGGCTGATTGGTCGATGGGTCACCTCCAAAGATTTGAAGTTTACTCCCTGTCGACTCCGTTCGATGACTCCTTACCGGAGGTCTTACACTGTACGCAATAGCGATAGGATACCGGCTCTGGGGGCTTGTTAACCCCTATGTTGACCTGGGTGGCCGATGCCGCCGCTCCGCCCACCGAATCAAAGGGATTGGGTTTGCTGTCCACGGGACTGATGGGAAAGTGCTGCCAGTGGGGGCAGGGCATCTGCTTGGGCGGATGGATGGGGAACGGCATATTCGCTGTCCTCTGCAACTGGATCTCTGTGGCTATAGGCTGTATCTCTAGTCTCGATCCGCTTCTGTCTCTGTATCTATATATGTATTTGTATCTGTATCTGCAACTGCAACCGGAGTTTGCCTGCCGCACTGCTCGAAGTCTCGATGCAAACTGTGCGGATTGCTAGAAGCGACGCCGCAACGTCAACGACCAAAACAAAACAACAAAAACAAGACAAGCACAAAGAGTAGAACCTTCTCAGAGGACAGAGTCGACCAGAAAATACCCTGCGGTATACCAGGTTGAAGGTGTATCAATCTTCAATATACCAAATTACTTTAAACATACTTTGTGATAATAAATATTTGCACTCCATCTTTTATTTTATTTGTTTATTTTTAAGTATTTTATGGCTTATAAATGTTTCAGCGAATACTTAGACATTTATTTGGAAAAGAAGAGATTTTAAATAAGACTTAAATTCTTAAAACTGTTTATAATGAACCAAACTTAATTTGCTCTGCAATAAAAGTAATGATTTTAAATATGTACATCTCTTAATAAGTAAAAATTCCTTTACCTTAAGGTTGACGCAATTCTAGTTAAATTAAAAACAATTTAATTTGCATTACAAAGGTGAAACCAAAATAAAGTCCTAATTATCATTCCTGAATAAGATAAATGTTCATCCTCATAAATAAATAGTATGCCAGTTCGATGGGTATTTCCATTTTATTTTTAGAATGATATATTTTAAATTGTTTGAACTATTTGGGTGGGCAAATATTGGTTGACAAACCTTTGTCCGACCACTTGTGTGACTTTTTTTAAAAACCTAGGGTATGACAACAACTTAAAAGTACAACAAAAGTTTCATCCACGGCATTGCCATGCAGCACACACACACACACATATACACACTCTCGCACACAGTTACACACACACTCTCAGCTGGTCTGGCGGGCTCGTCTAGTCAACAAAGAAAAGCAACAAAGATAAGGAGCGAAAGAGAGAGAGAGAGAACGACCGGTCTTATACACGTAAAGAACAAGTTTTGAGTTTTGTTTTTTAAATTTCGAATAGACTCATCAAATAACTAAGCGTCCTTGTACTTAATAGTTTTTTTTGTATGTTAACTGCACAAGTAAAACTGTATTTGCTGTTATTATATCTTAATAATTTTTAATGCAACAAAAAAAAATGTAAATGGTATACAACAAGTTTTTATATTTATGGTAATTCCGATTAAATTACAGATTAACATTTCTTTAGGTGTATTCCATTAATTACTCTCTTGCTCTTTTGCTCTCTTTTGCTCTCTTTCTTTCTCTTTCCTTTTTTGGGCGGTGGGCGGTGGGAGGGAGATTTGGGGGTGGCGAATGCAATCGTCGGTTGGCACTCCTCCATTTTATGGTTATGCTTTGTTCGCATTCGCCATTCCATTTGCTCCCAGTTCAATTCCCCTTCCATTTTATGCTGGCAAAAGACGGACTTTGCCCGCCAATCGTTGTTAACCCATTGAGTATAAAAATTATATTAAATATTTTTGGAACATTAAAAATAATGTTATTGCTAAAAAAAAATGTGTTTGCTTTTTAAATAAATTAGATAAGAAGCAAATACATAAGCCAATCAATAACTAAAAAAAAATGATATAGAATAATTTTCATTAAAATTAAATACCTTAAAAATGTCACATTCAAAAACATTCATTGAATTAGTTATTTTACATTTTTGCAATATCAATCGATTTTCTGAAACAAATAGGGTTAATCGAAGGGGCTATAAAGGGTGTATCTGTCGCGACATACTCCCTTTCCGGGTTCTCGAATTGCCGGCGAATGTTGTTAACCTCACATTGTGCTTTGTGTTCGCCTTTTGTGCAAGTTTCTTCATTAAGTATACGCACATTCGGTTAAGTGTGTTGCTCATTAATTGAGCTCGACAACAGCTTGTGAAGTGGCTTGTGTGGCAGATACATAAATATATCTGAATGTGGAATCAATTGGGAATGGGGGGTACTTGTTTATAGTTAGACAAACTATCAATGAGCTATCAGTGAGCTGCAAGATAAAAATTTTCACAGAAAGAAAGAACAAGTTGAATAAACAGTCGATGTGTAAATATTAAATATATACTTAAGCAACATATTGGGCTCAAATGATAACTATTGATTTGCCTTGTACGCTGAATCTTTTAAACTTATTTAAAAATGTAAAAGAATTAAGTAACAAATTTTAAGTTCGTTTTGTTAAAATAGCAACTCCATAGATTTTGGTACTTCACTTAAGGTTTTACAAATAAAAGAACACAGTTGTAAGTTAATTATTAGACCTTTATTAAACTTATGATGTATGCAAAATACAATTGTCATCTCCAGCAGCTCAGGGACTGCAGTTGATGAATGTATTATATATGCTGCATTTACAAACTGTCGTTCGAATCTGGGTATTGGGCATTATCATCGGATATATCATATATCTCGCTATTGGGCTCATTTCTAATTTCATCTAAACAAAAAAAGTTTGCTGTAATCACTTAAATTATGCTTATTTAATTTCGATTTTACTTTTGTTGGCGCCCTATTCTTTTTTAACATGTTTGCTTGTTTTACATTTATTAGCATGCGGTTTTTAGGTTTTTCATTTTATAGATTTAATTTAATTAAATTTGATTTTATTTTCTTTCATTAAAATTTTGGTTAAAAATTCATCGGTTTTACATTAGTGTCTTAGCTTATATTTTATATTATTTTTACGGTTTTTAAATCACTTTACACAGCACAAGCTGCGTATGTTACAAAAAAAAAAAAAAACAATTGAATAACTTCTTAATTTCATTTATCATGCGATGCTTGTGGCTTAGACTACGGATTACAGTTATCAATAGAATTGTTAATATGATTATTGTTGGTATTATTATTTTTATAAAAAACCTTTACAGTTGTTAAAAATTAAATTACCGTTTGCTCAGCACGTGCCTTCGTATAATTAATTTATTTTAACAATTGCCTACGTTTTATTTGATTTAATTAAATACAAATATATATTTATTTAATTATATTTTTATAAATATTTTATTTACTTTCGTTTTGCTTGATGTTCTGGATTTAAGGTAATTCGCGTTACATTTGTTTTGTCACATAAAGTAAGCTAGACTCTATATTAGATTTATATTTAAATATTTAGACTACAAAGTAAACTATATTGTGTAAGAATATATTTGTATAAATATCAATTCGATTTTCTTCTGCCTTCATTTTGCGAGGAAAGTCAATAGAAATTATGTACAAAACAAAGTGGTCAAGATTCGAATTGGAAATCAGCAGAGTAAATCTATCGAAATGCCCGCTTTGGTCGCCATAAATCCAGACACAGATTTATAGTCGCAGATCGAGAATTGCGTATAGAATGCTTGTAGAGATAGTTACGTAGCTGGTTAGTGCGAAAGAGCCTTGTGTGAACGCAAGGAAAATCATAATTAGAACACCTGAGTTTTACATTTACACATATATCATATATCATATATCATGTATCGTATCATATCATAATTAATATCAAGAGAGTTTGCCTACGCCTATATCATTCGCATTTTAATGGAAATTGAGGTCTTTCAACCGTCCACCTCAGTGTCAACTATTTGGATTATACTATTTCATTAGGTAAATCAAAAAAAAAAAGAGAGAGTCGAAGAAACTTGTGCAAACAGTTAAGGACTAAACTACGGTACATCCGTTTAATTTTAAGTTCCTATATATGTGCAAGCTTTATAAATATGTTACATAGAAAGTTTCTCGTGTCGTGTGTGTGTGTGTGTGTGTGCCTGGCTGATTGTATTCATACAATATCTTGCGTACGCAGTTGTCATTACATCACGTAAACTAACTAAAAACTTATACCCAAGGAAAAAAAAAAAAGAGTTACGATCTGGTAGACGTATAAGTATGTGAATATCGAGAGCTAATTAAGGTGCATTGCTAGGGACAGGCCGAAAAGCCAGCGGCGCAACGCGGATCCCGCTTACGAGGCATTCGAAACCGGAAGCGTTACGGGCGCCTGTCTGTAGTACGCATTCGCCCCCTTGATCGGCAGCGGATGGGCCTCCGTATTGAACACCCACTCGTCCAGCGGCAGCACAGAGTCGTCCGAGAACAGCAAGTACAAGTACTGCAAATAACGCAAATGATTAATTTCGAGTTTTAGCAGAGGTTTTCAAAAGATTCTTCTGGCATTTCGTTGTTCTGTTGAATAATTTTGATTTGATAATAGGGATAACTCAAGAATTTACTGGTATTTAATAGTTATTTATTGATTAATTTTGATTTTCAAGTGGGGATTAAAAAGATTCTAATAGTATTTTGGAAATTTAAATGTTTGCCTCATTTAAAATCCCTTTTTCTAAGAGAGATCTATTTTAAAGTTTAAATTTTTTAAATCTATTATGTTGTAACAAATCATACCAATTTCCAATTAATGGACAATCAAATAGTTGCAAAGCTCTTTGTTAATTAAAACGAATTTTAGTCACACATTTTAGTCACATTCTGTAATTGAGTCTATAAATTTTCAATTGATTGACAAACAAATAGCTATAACGTTTCGTAAAAATGAATCAGTAATGAATATAGCTTTAAAAGGGGAAAAAATCAAAAACATAATAAACATTTGTTCTGATAAGATAAAAAACAGGCTTTAAAGTTTAAAATCTCTTTTCTACGGATAATAAATATAGATTTAATACGAATTAATCAACAGCATAAAAAACTTTTATTATTCTGCTGTTTTTGCTTAGAGAATGATCACTTCTAAATTGAATTTTGTGAAATCATTGCTTATAAACAATTAAACACGAGCTGCAGAAAATGAAATTTGGTTTTTTGATAGTCATGTTTGGTGATCGTTTACCTTTAGCGTTTCGGCGAGGAAGAAACTCTGCTGGACGTCGTCCTTTTGTGGCTCCTGCTGGTAGACGTTTCGCAGGCCACAGTATCCGTGTGCCGTGCGGCAGTGCTTCTCCAGGGCGAGGACCGCCTCCCAGCCCCAGTCGCGGTATTTCTGGTCGTGCGTGAGGCGCCACAGCACAAAGTAGCTCTCGAAGGTCTCCGGTCGCAGGATGTAGTACTTCTCCTGCGATCTCAGTGCTCGCGCCTCAACCGCTTCGCTAAA